TCACAGGATCTGAACGTTGCAAGAAGCGATTCGGAAGAGGTAAATGAACTCATTCCTCTGCCTCTAGGAAGGGCAAGCTGTGCCCAAATATTTCCAAAGGATTAATTTTGCATCCTAATGAGAGTGAAAAACTAAGAAGCAGGAATTTCCTTGAGAAACTCGTTTGCATACTTTTGGACCATTTCTATGCTAATGAAATTGCAACAGGAAGAAATGTTCTAAAGTGTAGAGGGCAGTGCCTCCCCACACAGCCAGATGAGCGCCTGACTAGGATTAGGCATCTAGCTGTTACAGAATCATTAATTTGCCTGAGAAAATTCCTTTTACGGATTAAACAACCCCATAGAATATAATCGTTCTTATACATCTTATTTTCCATGAATAAACATTTCTACTCTCAGTATTTTTCCATCTCTCCCCTCCCTTTAACTTCCCTCTCCATTCTTTGCTTTCACTTTTTCAAGGCTGTCCTCTTTCTTCCTGGCCTGCTCTCTACCCTCCGCCCATTTAATGGTAATGACACCACTAAACTCCAAGTTTAAAGCCTGCTACCTTGGCACCTTCTTTCCCCTGACCTTTTATATTCTGTTGGATGCCAAAGCTGCAATTATTGCTTTAAAAAATGCCTCCTGAATCAGTTTCTCTTCATCCTGTTGCCACTATCTTACTTCAGGCTTTTATTAAATGTTTTGCTTGGATATAAATAAATCCCTTATTCTTCTCCTTGCTTTGGTTTCTCTCCAGCTCCCAAGTATTTTAGCCCTGCTGTCAGAGTGGTCAGCACAAAGCACAGCTTGGGCTTAATCCTGCATTGAAACCTTTGGGGCTTCCACACCACCTGCTGAGGCATCCGAACTCCTTGACGTGGCTCTTCCACCACTCTCTGGCCGCTGCCAACAAATCCTATGACCCAGTTCCAACCTGACTTTCCAGCTTTACTATCCCTTTTTTCTCTTTCACATGAATGACAGTCTTCCTAAACTATACAAAATTTCCTGAATACACTCGAAATTTTCTTAAATACTTTTTTCCTAATTCCATGTTTTTGCAATCTTGTTTGCTTCATCTAAAATTTTATTCTGCCAATATTTATGTATTGCAATCTGACTCCTCCTTCAAGTCCTAGTCAAACAACCAAGGACCCAACCCACCAAACAATAATAACAGCAGCTATGCTTTGCCCTGAGCTCCTAACATGTCAGGATCATACTGAACATTGTAAATACATAATCTGTAATTCCCACCCAGACACCTCCTAGCAAGATATTGTTACAACCATTTCACAGGTGAAGAAATGGACATTCGCGAATGGTAGTGATTTTTACCCTAGGCTGTACAACTAATAAACGGTATGTGGCACATCTGAGTACTTACCAACCTACACTCTTCCTTCCTTTTTTTCTTCAGCAGAACCCTGATTTTTTGGGGAAGGGGAGTAGCAGTTTGACCAGCTAAGACAAAAAGAAAACAAAAAACTACATATTCCAACCTCCTTTATAGCAAGGAATGAGCCTTTTGACATAGTTCTAGCCAAGGAGACTTAACGGCAGTCTTCTGGGGATTTGGGCAATATGTTGTTGTCTCGTCCCTGTCACTTCCTTCCTCTTTATTCTTTAGGAAGCAGGACCGAGGTGCCTGGTGAAGCAGGAACCATCTTGAGACTATCAGGTTGAGTCGAACACTAAGGAAGGTAGAGCAAAAAGATGAAAAGAGCCTGCTGGGATGATACTGGGAGCTGCTGTACTGTCACCTGTCCAGAAATTCTTGCTGGGTAAAAGGACTAAAGCTTAACTTGGCTAACCTATTCATCGGGTTTTCTGTTGTTCATACTTGTCACAATTTCTAGCTGGTTCTCGATAGATCTGGGTTTCATCCATAGATCTGTGTCACCCGGATTCTACTTTAAACTACATCATCACTGCATCCTTCATGGAGCAAATCAAACCTTACTCGAATCCCCACCTCAGAAATAAATTTTTCCTTCTTCTGTACTTCCATAAAATTCTGGGCTACTTTTAAGGTCCTTATGATTTCCTCTTGTTATTTGGAATTTTTTTAGTAGATTGTAAATTCCTCAAGAGCAGTCTGTAACTTCCTTCAGTCTGTAACTTCCTTCCTTCTCTATACATAAACATTGAGTGAATGTTTACTGTGTTGTATTAAAATCTATAACATTCACTATATAGTTTCCTATTATCTGAGGCTTCTGTGAATTATTTTTAATTTTCTTTAAATTTGATATGGACATAAATGTAACCCAAATCACAATGATTTGAGCTCCCATTGTGTCTGCCAGAAACTAGAGAGTTTCTCGGTTTTATTAAGCCTCGGGGGTGCTTAGAAACCAGGCCCTCCTGTTGGTTCCTCTGCTTGGCCTCTTCATCTCTTCCTCTGAGCTGCTGCCCCCGATGCTGCTGAGACTATCTCTCTGCCCATTCCAGACTTTGGGGAGGAAGCACTGGTCTCACTACCCTTTTGCTCTGTACTGGGGCACAGATCTTTTTCTATTTACTCATTGTACAACTGAGACCGTGTTATAGCTTTAAAGAAAACAACACAAAGGGAGGGCATGATGCAATGGAAGGAAAACACACAGAATATTTACAACTACTCTAGGCCCAGATGCACTGGCTTCCAGCTTTTTCTTTCCAGGCCTCTTTCCATGACCAGGGCAGTTCACTCCCACCACCAGAAATCCCGTGGCTCTCTAAGGCTGGAGTCTAAGCAGACCACCGGTCCCAGAGACAGACCGAGCATGTTTTTTCCTCATCCATCATAAGGCCTCCTTCCTCTGGGCTTCATTTTCTCATTTCCCATGACTGACAGTGGGAATATTAACTTCTTTTAAGGGATGCCCAAGCCTCACCCATAGTGAGCCTGTGGCCCTGACGAGTGTATCACAAAATGTGACTCAAATTTGATTTGATTGGAGTTATTCTGATATCTGCAGAAACTTTGTTATGTGAATACAAACCTGATCATAGTCAGAGTATAGTGGACAGATTACATTTTGTATCAAAATTAGTTTCCAATAGCTGAAGAATTTTCTTAATACTCTAACATTGTTATTCTCGATTGCTAGTGACACTGGGATATTGTCGCTAATTTTCACAAATAACAACTGAAATTTTAAAAGATGGTGATGAAGTCTTGATTTGAAGTGGTTTAAAGAGATGGGAAGTGAGTGCAGATAAATTTTTAAGATATTTTGTGGAGAAGGAAAGGAGTGGGCATCAGGACTACATTTGGAACTTGAGAGAGTGTTAGGATCAGGTTTATGCTAAATAAAGAAACATTAAGAAGAAGGAAGAGGAGGATGGAGAGGAAGAGAAGTGGAATGAATGGGAGAAGGGAGAAGAGGAGAAAGAGAAGGGAAGATGAAGAGAGAGAGAAAAAGACCTTTCAGTAAAAAATATTAATTATTATAATTGACTTGGTACAACATTTAATTAAAGTCATGTAAGCAATATCCTGGTATTCTCATATGTAGTGTACAAAGAGTGCTCTGTGCTTATGGATAGGAAGAGAAAGTACAAGAGATAAGTCTTTGAAGAGAAATTATTTAGGAATTAAGGCGGAAAGCATTTAAAATCGTTTTCTTTTTTATTATTTTTTAGGAAGATTAGCCCTGAGCTAACTACTGCCAATCCTCCTCTTTTTGCTGAGGAAGACTGGCCCTGAGCTAACCTTCATCCCCATCTTCCTCTACTTTATATGTGGGACACCTACCACAGCATGGCTTGCCAAGCGGTGCCATGTCCGCACCCGGGATCTGAACCGCTGAACCCGGCACAGTTAACTGCTGCACCACCAGGCCACCTCCTAAAATCAAGTATTTTTTCAGGCACAAGAACAATATAAGTAAACTATGTTCTTTTATATATAGCCAGTAGTCAATACCACATATATACATTGTGTCAACATTCTGTTGGCCAGTTTATAATTTTGCAACACTTTTTGATTCTTTATTATCAACCTCAAAATGAGGTAGCCTTTGATAACATATTCTGATTTTAAAAGACAATAGTAGAAAGTTGTAAAATCTATTATTTTAAATCTTTTAAAAAATGGGACCGTCCAACCTTCTCCACAGGACTGATGCAATAAGAAGCTGCAGGGCTGTTTGACCTTGGAATTCAGCTGTTCAGAGACAGCTGCCAGCTCTGTCTTACCGACAAGGCTGTGTCTGCTTCCCTCTTCTCCCGCCTCCAGCACAGAAGATGGACTGCTTGTAGCCTTTGTAAAATGGAAGGTAGTTCTGCCCTTGAGGATAAGACCCTCATTTGCTATTTGATCCCTTCCTAGAATCTTAAGGTGGTAGAATAGACACCGACAACAAGAAAGCAAGTAATGAAGAGAAATTAAAGGACACATTTCAATGATGAACTTTATAGATGAATTCATAATGATTGTTGGGTGACACATAAACTTTCTTGGTTGGCTTATGATAGATGTAATGAACTCTTTACATTCTTTCAAATTCTAGAATATTTTATATTTTTGGAGGTAAGTTCTTTCAAATGGAGTGATTCTGGAACATTTAATTTATGTTTTTTGAGGTCTTAGGAATGTGTCAATTACCACGAAGAATATAATTGATTTGTGAGATTTAATTAAAGTCACGTGAGTGACATGCTGGTATTCTTATTAAATGCAATATACAAGCAGTGCTCTGTGTTCATGGATAAGAAGGAAAAGCTCAAGAGATAAGTCTTTGAAGAGATGTTATTTAGGAATTAAGGTGGAATGTGAAGTGTGATGCCTGAGTGTACGTCAAAGGAATATATCCATTCTGCCCCTGGAAGGAACTATCTTCTCTCTCTTCCTCCATGTTTTCTTGCTCCATGCTAGCAGAAAGCCCCCATTTTGAAGACTGCTTGTTCCTCCTTAGTAACTGTCACTGTCTCCTGCTGGTCTTTCGTTTAGCAGGAAAGGAAGTCAAATGAGTCTTAATAGATCCTCATTCCTCTCCTTCCCACCTCTCTTGAGCTCTGCTATTATAGAATTAAATTAAATTGGTATCTACATTATCTTAAATGGTCAAACCTAACAAGCTGAAATTTAGTTGGTTAAATGTAAATACTGCTTCCCCCTCCGGATCCCGTATCCCAAATACTACTGTGAAGTGGCCAAGTACAATATAGAAGAGGCATATTAACTGTGATTAATAGAAAAGTTTATTTTTTGACACTTTTCTGTTTTTTCCTAAAATAAGCAGTTATTATTTTTACAACAAAAGTTTAAGCATTATTTAAAATTATTTTGAAAGCTTGAAAGCTCTCGATAGATAAAGTTATCCCCCACCTCCCCCAAATTTTCTGCCTCCAAATGTTTATGTAATGCTGTGAACAGTGGGCTCTGATCTTTGCCACTGTGTTCCACTTTGTCAACTCCATGAATAGTCTATCATTCAGCATCTAGCCAGGAAAACAGAAACCACCCTCAGTCTTTGGAATAGAGGAGTTAATACAGGGAATTGATCACCCAGGTGATGGAAAACAAAGCAGCTAAACATGGATTGGTGAGGCAACGCAGAGAAGCGCTAATCACCCTCAGCCGAGGAGGACAACAGGTGATTGTGTGGTTACCAGAAACCAGAAGCTGGACTCAGGTTGGAGATTGAACCATGATGAGATGCAGACCAGTGATTGCTGGGGGCAAGGGGTGGGGGTGCTGCCTAGAGGAGTTGGAGCCGTGGGCAGTGTCAGAGATTCCTTAGGACACCAGGAGAGAAGGGAAGAAATACCCTAATTTCTCCCTGTAATGAAAACTGTGGTAGGATAACAGAATCTTGCTTGTGTCCCTCAAAGGCTCCTTCTGTGTTTTGACTCTGAGGGCAGGAATCAGCCATGAGCTAAACTGAATTTTGCTCAGTAGAGACATTCCGAGTCCTACAGGACCCAAGTGAGTAAGCAGAAGGACTGGCTTATCAGAGATCAGATATTTATCTGTGGGGCAAAGCAAGGTTATCCCTGTTTCCTTCTTTTTATGTTGCAATGTAAAATGTACTGATTTAATGTAAATTCTATCTTTGATTTGTGCCTTTCCGTTTGTCACTATATAATGTGAGGTTAATAATAATAACTATTTATTTATACTTTCTATGTGCAAAACTCTGTTCTAAGAGCCTTACATGTATTAATACTTTTAATTCTCAAAGCAACCTCATGAGGTAAGTACTACTATCAGCCCATTTTATGGAAGGAGAAGTTGAAGAACCGAGTGGTTAGCTAATCGGCACACTGTTATATTTGGTGACACAGTTGTATTTTGGGGTACTGAAGTGACCTTTGTAATCAGCTCTGCCATGTGATTATTGCTGCAAAGACAGTCCTCAGATAAGCCCTTCTAATGTGGAACACTGTTTTCTTATAGACATTCCCCACATACCAGCACCTTAAACCAAGTCACAATCTTCTATTACCATACCATTACAATGGACTCTGCATTGATCTTCTCACTCCCATTCTTGTCCTCTTCAGTTTATATTCTGCAGAGCAGCCAGAATACCTTCTAAAAACACAGCTCCTCTTCTTAAAGCCCTCCAGTGGTTTTCTATTGTTGGTAAAGTTCTACGTTACCTAAAAATACTATACCGTGGGTTCTTAGCGGACAGGCATAACCCAGTGCATTTGGAGTGCTGTTGCTTTCCTGGTGTGACTGAGTAGCCATTTATTTACCTACCTACCTCCTTTTGAAGGAATATTGTCTTTACCTCTTATACTCAGAGGTCATGGGCAAGTTCTGTAAATGACTCAGAAAAGTCGTCCTGAAATTATCCTCACCTCCTACTTAGGAGAAGAGCATTGATCCTTAGGCAGCAGAGAGTTCCAGAAGGTCTGGAGATTTGTATGTTTGACTCATCTCACCCCTAAAGACCCCCTGAGGGCCTGTGAGTCTGCTGGAGCTCCTGGCTAAGTTGACAGCCATTTTGTAACGTCTGTTGATGGTACTGTTTGTCTTGGCCTTTCTTGGGTAAATTTGGCAGACAGCCAAGGCAACAAAGGGCCCTCCTCAGATTAGAGTTGGAAGAGGCAGCTGGGGTGAATCTCCAAGTAATAGAGAGGGGTGTAGGGCAAAGGAAATTGGCCAGGGGCACACATGAGCTAAATTTCATAACTTACTTGCATAGATTTGAACAAACAGCAAAAGCTACAAGAATGCTACAATGGGCCTGAACATGCTGGAAGGAAGGCTTGATCCCGGGGTGCTCTACATTTAGTCCCTTTGGTGATGAATCAGGCCAGGGATACACCCTAAGTGCTGCTCTTAACCAGCAAAAATATCTTAGTTGTCTCATATGTGTGATTAATACATAAGGGACAACGTGAAAGGCTTGGCACTGTCATTGGGTCGTCTAGATGTATTTATATTTCTGAGAAATGAGAAAGATTAATTGGTATGTAAATATAAGGAATATGTACTGGCTGTTAAATAAAGGGCATGATAAAATACCTTAGGAAAAAATTTGTGTTCTCATAGACTAGCAATAACTGATCAAAATTATTAGAATAACTTAAGAAAAAGTTTTTGTTTTGTTTCTTGTTTCATGAAGTTGACAAAGCTGGGCTATACATGGTGACTACAACTAGAATAAAGTTATTACAAGTTTTCATATTTTAATCTAAATAATTTGCCATAATTCTTCTCAAGACTTCACTGCTTATGAATTATATTGAGTCCTACGGGTTCTGTAAAAGAACTTTGAAACGGCTTTCATTGCTTCAGGTTTTACGCAGCCAAAATAATTACTGAAGACATTTCAGCTGCCTTTTCTCAATCCAAAGGTTATTCACACTGACTTTTCTTGTTTTGACTTCATGCAAGACATCATTAATTACACGTGCTATTAAAATGTTAACTTTCCCTTCAAATTCCTTCGTAATGTACAAGTACATTTAAGTATTTTTTTAATCTGAATTAGTGAAAAATACCTCTTAGGTGAAAGAAAATCTCATTTGTTTTATTGCATCTTGCCTTGCAAGACATCACAATCTAGTACCTCATAAATATTTTTCCTCTTTAAATCGTTGCTTGGAAAATAAATTTGTCTCACTTTTTCCATAAAGCTGAAGTTGTACAGGTCAAATATTGTAGATTATACAAAAGAGTTTCCTCCGTGAATAAGTACAAGCTCACACGACTGGAAAGTCGTCAAGAAATGACACAGTTCAGAGACAGCCCTGATGGCCTAGTGGTTAAAATTTGGCAAGATCTGCTTCAGTGGCCTGGGTTCTGTTCTAGGGCATGGAACCATACCACTTTTTGGTTAGTAGCCATGTGGTGGTGGCAGCTCATGTAGAAGAATTCGAAGGATTTACAACTATAATATACAGCCATGCACTGGGGCTTTGGGGAGAGAAAAAACACAAAGAGGAAGATTGGCAACAGATATTAGCTCAGGGCAAATCTTTCCCAGCAAAAAAAAAAAAAAAAATGACACATTTCAGCCTGAATCCAGATGGGTCCACTACACATGGACAGTTATTGTATTGTTCAGACTCCCTGAGACAAAGTACCCAGAGCCTCTTGCTACAGTAGCCTGTCTCATGTTAAATCATCCTGTTTTGTTTGTTTGTTCTATGAAGCTTTATCTGTCTAATTTCTGTTATTAAGAATTATGCCCATTCTTGCTATGATTTTGCTCTTGAAGACAGAACAGCTGGACAAAAGACATACTATGACAGTGATTACTGAGTGAAAATTGAGCAGGAGCTGAGATTTGGTGATATTTTGCTATTTTAGATGTTTGAATGCTTTTTGAGTGTTGATATAGAGATGTCACAACTAATTTAATTATTTCATACAAATTTAAGGGAAGAATAACTGTGGAACCTCTCTTACAAATGACTGAAATTCTTACATCAACACTGTGTCATTTTTTATCTACTGTTGATAGGAGAGCGCAACTCTTCTCAGCAGAGGTGTTCTATTTCCTAAATTAGCTCAAGTCTCTACATTCTTGCCAATGGATTAAGACAAGTTTGCATTTGACGTATGAGAAGTCTGAAATTGAAGTCAGATGTACTCAATAGCATATAAAGCACTTTCTACAGGCTTTCCTTAGAACCACAATATTAAAAGCAGTGACTAAATTTGTAAAATGATAACCAGATTATGACAAGTGTAAATCTCAAAAACAAGTCCTTACTACATCAATGTTTGCATTTAGGGAAGACAAATATTAAATTCTTGTATCTTCTGTTTAACATTCATCTGCTTATGTAAATAGATGTTCCATTTTTTTTTTTCCTCCCCAAAGCCCTAGTACACAGCTGTGTATTCTAGTTGTAGGTCCTTCTAGTTCTTCTCTATAAGCCACTGCCACAGCATGGCTACTGACAGATGAGTGGTGTGGTTCCACACCTGGGAACGGAACCTGGGCTGCCAAAGTGGAGTGCACCAAACTTTTAACCACGAGGCCATCAGGGCCAGTTCTTGATGTTTCTTTTTTCATTAGGAGTTTTTACATGTGAATAGGAATTTAGAATTTCTATCTGTAATATAAGCACCAAAACCCTTCCTCATATCTTGGTGATGCTCATTGTGAAATATCTTGCTTAATCAGTTAATGAACACAAAGCTAAATAAGAGCTACTTTTTTTCAACCATAAAATATCATTTATTTGGCAGATATGAATTGTGTTCCAGTATTAGGCAATCTACTAGATGGAGGAAGCATAACCTGTGATTTTCAATATAAATAACAGTAATCTAGGATTTTTTTCTTTATGAGCTATTATAGGAGATGTCTTGAAAAAACTGTTAAAATTGAACTTACGTATTTTAGGAAGTTTTGCTATTTAAATATTTCTATTTTCTTTGATTTTATTGTACATGTATTTAAAATTTATCATTATGAAAATAGAATATTCTTATAATAGTCTCAAAAATAGACAAGTAGGAAAACAACCCAACATAAATATAACATTTTGGTGTATTTCCTTTCAGATTTTTATACATAGTTTAAAAAATGTCTATATGTATCATATTCATAACTGAGAAAAATCTGAAAAAATAAAATTAAAGTGGATTTATTCACCATAAAAATGTGTCCATTAATATGACCTTGATGTATTTCAACATATCTTTATAACATGAAAAAACCTTAAGGATACAATAAGTGAAAAAATTCACAATATGAAATTCTATATACATAGTTATACTTAAATATCATATAATAAACTTGGAAACATCTTAGTTTGACTTATAAACTAAAGCCAATTGTTTGAAATGGCTTCTGGAACTGATCATGTTTCTGAACAATGTGTTACAAATAAAAGTAATCCAGAATACTTGGGAGCAAAGTGACAGGTCGAAAGATTGTTTTCAGTCAACTCTATGGACAAATTAAATACTTTATTTTTCTTGGAAATTTATTTTAAAAAAAACCCCTCCACATGAGTTTTGATTCTTAAAAATATGAAAATTGGACACGAGTGTTTTAAAAAATTATCACTCAAGAAAATAATACAATATAAAAAATTAGCAGGGGATAATTTTATCTCTAGATTTTTGGGGCAAGAATAGAGTGCAAACTTTCTCCCAAATTTTGCTAAATCTGGAATGATCATCTGTACAGAATGCAAAAGATTGACTGTAATGAAGTAC